CTGGCCCTGGCCCCGCGGTTGGAGCCGCCCAGTGACCGCAGCGCCGGCAGGACGAGGTCAGGCCAGCGCCGGGGCAGTCCCCCCAGCAGAGGACGAGAGCGGCCATGTGGCACAGGCCCAGACAAAGGCACCGCCCGTTCATCCCTGGCCGCAGCACGGCCGCCCTCCCGCCGTGCCGCTCCAGTGTCCCCTGCCTGGCCACGCTGGGGACACCGGAGTGCTGGCAGGGCCGGCACCTCAGGGGGTGACAGGTCCCCCAGGTTTGGGGCCCAGACAGAGCATGAGAAGGACACGGCGTGGGGCTCTGTGCTCCCCGCAGGCAGCCCTGTGTCTGCCCGGGGAGGGGGCACCGAGGGGCTGATGGGGGCTGTGTTTCCTCTGCTGCCCACAAATGCAAGAGCCCCCAGAGCTGCCCGCAGGCTGGAGTGGGGGCTGTGTCCCCCCTCAAGCCACCATCCGACCTCCTGGGGCTGCCGGCGTGACCCTGCCCGGGGACCCCTGCCCGGGGACCCCTGCCCGGGCAGCACAGGCAGTGAGTGTTTCAGTGCCGTGACCCCAGCTGCTCTGGGTGCTGCTGACACACGCTGCCAGCCAGCAGCTCCGAGTGCCACTCTGGGGACACCCACGGCCGTGCTATCCCCGACCCCCACAGAGCCACACGTGCCATGAGGTGCCCGTGAATTACCCCAAACCCCCTGAGCTCGCTACCAGCGCAAGGGTCTCATGGTGATGCCTGAGGCTGTGCGCACAGGCACTGGTGTCCCACAGCCACCCCTGCTACCGGGAGCCCCCAGGAAGGGCCCCTAGTGGGTGCTGCCCCCCAAACCTGGCCCAGCAGCCCCTCAGCGTGCTGGGGCTGAAACACTCATTTCTGGGCACGACCCCTTTATGGCCGGGGCCACCCCAGAAACCGTGGGGGCAGAGACAGGCCGCTCCAGCTGCCGCCCCCAGAAGCGGGGGTGGGTCCCCAGGCGGGAGCGGCCCCCAGCCCAGCCCGGGCCCCCGGCGCGGAGCGGGGCCGGCCGGGGCGGGGCGGGGCGGGCCGGCCCTTGGAGCCCCCCCCGCCGCCTGCGGCTGCCGCCGCGCCTCGGAGCCGCCGAGCGGGTGAGCAGCGGGGGGCACCGGGCCCGGGAGAGCCGCGGGTGTGCGGGGCGGGCGTGCCCGCGAGTGCGCGTGCAGAGCGGGCGGGCGTGCAAGGGGCGTGCGCGCGCACGGGGGGCCCCGAGGGACGTGTGCGGGGGGCTGGGAGCGCGTGGATGTGGGAATGGGCGAGTGTGCCCGGGAAAGCGAGCGTGTGTGTGACTGTGTGACTGTGCGTGTGACACTGTGTGTGTGAGTGACAATGTGTGTGTATAGCTGTGTGCCTGTGCGTGTGAGTGACAATGTGTGTGTGACAATGTGTGTGACTGTGTGCCTGTGCGAGTGAGTGACACTGTGTGTGTGACAATGTGTGTGACAATGTGTGTGACTGTGTGCCTGTGCGAGTGACACTGTGTGTGTGAGTGACAATGTGTGTGCATCGCTGTGTGACTGTGTGTGTGACAATGTGTGTGACTGTGTGTGTGCCTGTGCAAGTGACACTGTGTGTGTGAGTGACAATGTGTGTGCATCGCTGTGTGACTGTGTGTATGACAATGTGAGTGACTGTGTGCCTGTGCGAGTGACACTGTGTGTGACAATGTGTGTGACTGTGTGCCTGTGCATGTGAGTGACAATGTGTGTGAGTGACAATGTGTGTGCATCGCTGTGGGACTGTGCGTGTAAGTGACAATGTGTGTGTATAGCTGTTGTGATTGTGTGTGTGACAGTGAGTGTGACAGTGTGTGTGACAGTGTGTGGGACAGTGTGTGTGAGTGACAATGTGTGTGCATCGCTGTGGGACTGTGCGTGTAAGTGACAATGTGTGTGTATAGCTGTTGTGATTGTGTGTGTGACAGTGTGTGTGACAGTGTGTGTGAGTGACAATGTGTGTGCATAGTTGTTGTGATTGTGTGTGTGAGTGACAGTGTGTGAGTGACAATGTGTGTGCATAGCTGTGTGACTGTGCATGTAAGTGACAATGTGTGTGCATAGTTGTTGTGATTGTGTGTGTGTGTGACAGTGTGTGTGAGTGACAATGTGTGTGCATCGCTGTGTGACTGTGCATGTAAGTGACAATGTGTGTGCATAGCTGTTGTGATTGTGTGTGTGAGTGACAGTGTGTGAGTGACAGTGTGTGAGCAACAATGTGTGTGCATTGCTGTGTGATTGTGTGTGTGTGACAATGTGTGTGAGTAACAATGTGTGTGCATTGCTGTGTGATTGTGTGTGTGACAGTGTGTGAGTAACAATGTGTGTGCATCACTGTGTGATTGTGTGACAATGTGTGTGCATCTGGGTGTGCCTGTGTGTGTGCTGAAGTGTGCATGTGTGTGTGTGTGTGTGTGTGTGTGGGGTGCAGGCACACCGGGGCCGTTCCCACAGCCTGTTCCCAGGCGAGTGTTTGCCGCCCAGGGCGTGAACACCCCATGACCTCTCTGCGTGTGTTTACATGTGCCGGCTGTGCGTACACCGGGCCGAGGGTGCGGAGGCACCCGCGGTGCTCGGGCGGGCGTCGCAGGCCGCTCACGGGCAGGCGTGTCAGCGCCTGCTGGGGACTGGGACACGCATGTGCGTGGTGTGTCCCGCAGCTGTGACGTGTCCCGGACACCTGCGGGGTGCACACGGGCTGCGTGTCCCAGACATGTGGCCGCAGCGTCTGAGGATCTGTTGGTGCCCAGGCAGCGCCTGGCTTGGTGTGCAGGGAGGGTCGGGGTCCCAGGGGCTTTTGGGTCATTCCTTGGGCCCTAGTGCCTGCTCCAACTGGGCCTGCGGCTGCCTGGGGGGCTGGCACCCCCTCTGACCCCAAGGAGCAGCAGGGCGAGGGTAGCGAGGGTGCCACAGGACAAAGGGGCTGAGGGACCAGTGCTGGTTTGGGCTCTGCGGAGTCAGGACTGGCTGGGAAGGGGGCACCCATCCCTGAGCCTGGACCCTCCATTCCTGCACTCCAGGGAGCTGACATGCCTGTGCTCCAAGTCCACCACCTCGCTGTCACCCGGGGGTGCTCACTGGCTGGGGCTCCTGCTGGCTCTTCCCTGCCCTGTGCCAGGGCTGCCCAGCAAGGAGTGGGGGCCCATGTGCAGCACCCTGTGTGTCCTGCAGCTCCCCAGGCAGGCAGTCGGGGTGTGTGGGCAGTGTGGGGTGCAGGCAGGGGACAGCCTGTTGTCCTCAGAACTGACTCTGCCATCATGCAGGAGTGATGGGAGCAGTGAGAAAGCTGTGTGCTGTGGGGTACCCAGTGCCCCGGGTGCAGGTGCCCTGCCAGGGCGAAGGGGATGCTGTGGGGCAGCGTGGCTGTGTGCCAGGGGGTCCTGGCAGGAGGGTCTGAGCTCACGGTGGGCCGGAGAGGTGGGGGGCAGCCCAGCTTGGCCCCGTGGGAGGCCCTGGGCTCAGGCAGGGTGCCACAGCTGGTGTACCTGGAACGGGGGATGCCCCGGGGCCCCGTGGGGAGCCCTGCCAGCTGTCGGGCCAGAGGCTGCCCCAGCCCCTCGTCCTGCTGGAGCCCCTCGCAGGAGCTGTCAGGACGCGGCACAGCGCTCCAGCTGCGGCCGGGTATCCCCGCTCCGGTGAGACCCGCGGTCTCCGGGCGGCCGGCGCGGAGCAGCTGGGGCTGGAGCATCTGCGTGGCTGTGCAGGGCCGCGCCGCGCACTGCAGGTGTGCATGCATGCGTGCTCGCACGCTGTGCGTGTGCGTGCTCGGAGCTCGGGCTGCCGGCTGCTGTCTGGCAGCTCCCAGCAGCCAGCCGAGCCGGGGGCGAGCGTGTGAGCCCGGGAAGGTGGCGAGAGCCCGGGTGTGTGGGCAGTGTACGAGCCGGGTCCCGGTCCCTGAGCAGGGGCCGTGTGGGGCAGGCTGCGCAGGAGGGTGGGAGCTCATGGGCAGCAGCAGCAGCAGCAGCAGCAGCAGCGGTGAGTCTCACACAGTCTGTCCCGCTCTCTGCAGGCAGCAGCAGCAGCGCCCGGTTCCATCACCGCCTTCCCATCACCCACTGCCAGTGGGAACGGGGTGGCGGGCGCTGGCGTGGGAATTTGGTGCAGAAACCACCGCCCCACCTGCCTGCTGACCCCAGGCCACAGGTTTTGGTGCTGCCCAAACACCCAGAGAGGTTTCCCCATTGCCGGCAGTGGGCAGGGAGGGTGGCCCGGGCTGCAGCGGTGCGTGCCAATGCCTGCAGCAGGGCGTGGGGCACGCTCGGGCCTGCTCAGGGCAGAGCGGGGCAGGGTGCTGCGGTGCCCCCGGCGCTGCCCCGCTGGCAGCTGCGTGGGCAGGACAGGAGATAAATGGGAGTTTGGCGTAAACAGCCCTGGCTGCCAGCAGCGCTGGAGTGGCGCTTAAAGGCACAGGCTCTGGCGTGGTTCTGCTGCCTGTTCCTGCCCTCCCTCCCTGCCTGCTCTGCCCTGCTTTTCCTCCCTGCCTGCCCCTTCCCTTCCCTTCCCTCCTGCTCCTGCCCCCCCTGCTCACCCCAGAGCAGCTGCCCTCCCTGCAGGGGCTCCCGTCCTCGCTGCGTGCCATCGCACCGGGGTGCTGACACAGCCCTACCACGGCCATGCACAGGTGGCAGCCAGGTCCCTGGAGCCCCCCAGGATGCCATGAGGTGGCATAGGGCAGGGGGCCATGGCTGCAGGGTGAGTGCCTTCTCCCACCCTACTCAGGGTGACGTGCTTGGCTGGGTGCAGTTGAGTCCCGTCCGTCTGTGCCACTTCCCGGGCAAAGGGTGCTGCTGATAAGGCTGGGGTGGAGCTGTGGGACTGTCCCAGGCCTGGGAAGGAACGTCAGGCTCCACCGGGAACAGCAGGAGCAGCGGGGACAGGAAGGGAGCAAAGTCGATTTGGGGCAGAGGGGCAGCCCAGAGCCCCGGCCCCTGGACATCAGGTATGACCTGTGAGTGGGCAGAGTGTGGGAGTGTGGGCACGGCTGTCCCGGGACTGTGGGCACAGGCATCCACCGAGTGTGGGCACGGCTGTCCCGGGACTGTGGGCACAGGCATCCACCGAGTGTGGGCACGGCTGTCCCAGGACTGTGGGGAGCATTTCTCCTGAGCAGGGGGCTCCAAGTGGGTCCCACCACTGCGGACCAGGGCTGGGACTGACCAAGAAGGACATGGGAAGCTCTGCCCCACACCCCACACTGGGAGGGCAGTGCTGGGTACCCTGGCCCCAGGAGTGCTGCCTACTGCAGGGGAATCCCCGGACCCCATCCCTCTGTCCCCCTGTCCCCGTTGCCATGGCGATGTAAGGAATTGTCATTAATAGTTGTGTGGGTGCTGCTGGCCGGGTGGGCAGTGCTCTGAGGGCTGTGGGGCTGTGAGCCCTCCCCACACCCCAGCAGGGACAGAGCCCCTGAGGGCCGGGCAGAGGATCTTGCCCAGTGCTACCTGCTCGGTGGGACCCCTGGAACGGGAACGGGGGCTGGCACGGATGTGTCGCCTGTGCTGAGTGCTACCTGTGGGGACACCGGTGCCGGCCAGGTCTGCCTGTGCTGGGGCTGGCTCAGGCACCCCGTGGTGCTCCATTTCTCCCGAGGGAGGGCTGGGAGCGCCGGGCTGTGCCCACCAGAGCCCCCAGCCCCAGCAGTGTGGCCGTGGGGCACAGCTGAGGGGCGGCTCTGGTAGCAGCCATGGGGCCGAGCTGTTCGCAGGACAGCAGGACACTCCCGGGACAGCTTTTCCGGGGACAGCAAGATACACACCCGGCCAGCCCCTGCAGCACCGCCGGGTCCCGGCCCCAGCGGGTTTCCCTGCCGGGGAGGGGAGGAGGCTGCCGGGAGTCCCTGGCTGCCGCTAGCGCCGGGGACAAAGCCCCGTTCCCTCCGGACCGTGACGGCGGCGGGGCGGGGGCTGGGGCCGGGTCCCGCTGGGGCGGCGCGGGGGCGGTACCGACGGGGAACCGCCCGCCCCCTCTTCCGAGCGGCCCGCCGCCCGGAGCACCGGCGGGCGGGGGGCTGGAGCGGATCGGTGCGGCCGGGATCTGCTGGGCACGGCTCGGGGACAGATCGGTAAAGCTCGGGCGGGGCCGGTTCGGTCCGGCCGGGCGGGGCTCCGCCCGTGGCTGCTGCGCCCGGTGCCGAGGGCGGAGCGGGGCGGGCCGGGCCGTGCCGTACCAAGCCGCTGAGCCCCTTCTCTCCCCGCAGGTCTGCAGCGCCCGGGCGGCTTCGCGGCCGCGGCGGAGCCCCGCGGCTCGGTGCGGGATGGCGGCGCGGCCGGTGCTGCCGGTCCTGGCGGCGCTGCTGCTCTCGGCGGCTCCGGAGCCTGTCCCGCGGGTCAGCCTGCCCTACGGTGAGTGTCCGCTGACCGCCGGTGGGTGGGGGTCCGCCGGCACGGGGGAGGGCAGCCAGCCCCCGCCGAGGGCTCCGGCTGGCGTCCCCCTGGGGCGGCGGAGCGTCCCGCGGCCCCGGGCTCTGTGCGCCGCGTGGAAACGCCGTGTGACAGCCCCGCCAGCTCCCGGGACACGGGGAAGCCCCTGCCAGCGGGACACGGAGCGAGGGCTGGGCAGAGCCCCGGGGGTGCTGCGGGGTGTGGGCGCGCAGCCCCGTCCAGACCCGCACCCGCCGTGGGTGTGTCTGTGCCCCCGAGCAGGGCACCGGTGGCAGCCGTGTTCCCTGCAGATGGGGTGGGCTGAGCCGGCCGGGGCACTCTGCCCCCGCGCTCCCTCCCTGCTCAGAATGTCCTGGGGTGGGGGACACGCCACAGCCCCTTTCTGTGCCGTGCTGGGCTCCGGACAGCTCTGAGCCCCTCTGCAGGCGCTTGTCAGCTGCGTGGCCCCCGAGTGATGGGGGCTGCGCTCTCCAGGGGCCAGGGAAGGATATCTGGGACGGTGCTAGGCCAAGCAGAACTGTAACAAGTGGGAGGCCTGGTTGCAGCCCCCTCCTGCCCTGCAGAGCCCCCCAGCAGCTGGCAGAGGCTGGGTGAGCCCTGGCAGCTGTGCCGTGCGGGGGAGCCACCCACGGCTGTGCTGCCAGAAGGTGGCTGGATCCAGCTGCTGCCGGCCAGCAGAGCCCATCCCGTCCTGCGCTGGGAGGGTGCCGTGGTTTGGGCAGCTGCGAGCGCTCCCTGGCTCGGCGTGCTGCACTGCTGGAGATGTGGCCCCACCACATGCTCCCGTGACCGCTGGCCACGGTGGCTCCAGCAGATGTGGGACCTGCTGAGCTGGACAGGAGGCTGGGACCCAGTGAGACAACCAGCTCGGCATCATGCCATGCTGTGCTGTGCCGTGTTGAGCCACGCTGCCTGGCCCTGCCTGCACAGACCGGTTCTGCCCCGTGCTCTGCACACCTGTGGGAGCTGTGGGGCTGCAGCCACGGGCAGTGCCTGGGGATCCCGGCCTGGACCCCAGCGAGGCGGGAGGAGCTGGGCGGGGAGCACGGGCCAGTGGCCGGTGTGTGTCCGGTGGTGGCTCCCAGGGAGCGTGGCCGCGTGGGGCTGCGGTCGGTGGGAGGGAGGAGCTGGGAGCTGCTCCCCTGGGAGCACTGGATGTGCCTGCAGCAGGTTTGTCTGGAAGAAGCAGGTCTTGTCCTGACAGGTCCCTGGCAGCCACACCAGCAGCTAGCTCCCCATGTCGGCACAGCTCTGCAAGGCACAGGGGCCCCGTTGCCCCTCTGCTGCCGTGCCCACCACGGGTGGCATCACCCCACCTCTAGGGTGCAGGGCCCCTCACAGGAGGATGCCCTGGGGCATCAGCTTCCTCCTCTCTGCACCACTGTGGAGAGCTGGGCTGGTGCTGGGCCAGCTGAGCCCCCTGGAATGGGGGATGATGCTGCCCCATCTAGAGTCACCTGGGGTTTGTGGAGCAATGGGAGGTGAGAGCCACGGGGTCCCTCCCCACAGCTCCATTGCCCCACAGCTCCTCGATCCCTCGCATTGGCTCCCACCAGGCAGAGCCTGGCAGGAGCTCTGGGGTTGTCCGGGTGGGACTCTGGGAGCAGGCAGAGGGTTGGGGGAGGTCAGGGAGTCCCCAGAGGGTCAGGGAGTTGGCAGCGTGAGTCAGCCCGACGTGTCCCGCTCACGCAGCCAGGCCCATCTGATTCAGAGCGGCGGTAGGAGAGGAAGGGCTTCCGGGGCCAGGCCACCCACGCGGGACAGGCCGGCATGGGATGGGACAGGACGGGCACTCCCTGACTCAGCATGGCCACTGGGCCGTGTCCGGCACGGGCTGAGCCCCCGGGCCAGGGTGGGCAGCAGCGGGCTGAGCCCTGTGTGCAGCAGAGGCTGAGCCCTGTGTCCAGCACGGGCTGAGCCTGGAGTCCAGCACGGGCTGAGCCCTGTGTCCAGCACGGGCTGAGCCCTGTGTCCAGCAGAGGCTGAGCCCTGTGTGCAGCAGAGGCTGAGCCCTGTGTCCAGCAGAGGCTGAGCCCTGTGTCCAGCACGGGCTGAGCCCTGTGTCCAGCAGAGGCTGAGCCCTGTGTCCAGCAGAGGCTGAGCCCTGTGTCCAGCACGGGCTGAGCCCTGTGTCCAGCAGAGGCTGAGCCCTGTGTGCAGCAGAGCTGAGCCCTGTGTGCAGCACGGACTGAGCCCTGTGTCCAGCATGGGCTGAGCCCTGTGTGCAGCAGGGGCTGAGCCCTGTGTGCAGCACGGGCTGAGCCCTGTGTCCAGCATGGGCTGAGCCCCGCGTCCAGCACGGGCTGAGCCCTGTGTGCAGCACGGGCTGAGCCCTGTGTCCAGCAGAGGCTGAGCCCTGTGTCCAGCAGAGGCTGAGCCCTGTGTCCAGCACGGGCGGAGCCCTGTGTGCAGCAGAGGCTGAGCCCTGTGTCCAGCACGGGCTGAGCCCTGTGTGCAGCAGAGGCTGAGCCCTGTGTCCAGCACGGGCTGAGCCCTGTGTGCAGCAGAGGCTGAGCCCTGTGTCCAGCACGGGCTGAGCCCTGTGTCCAGCAGAGGCTGAGCCCTGCAGGCTGGGGCTCGAGGATACTCAGCACTCATCTCCCCCTGCCGTGAGGTTGGGGTCCCTGTGGGCCTAGGCTGGGCTGAGCCTCCCATGCTGCAGGGCTGAGCTCTAGGGCTGGACGTGGCTGGACAGCTGTCCCAGTGCTGGGCAGGGCTGTTGTGGCATCCTCAGGGCCAGGATGTGGCTGTGCCTCGCGGTGGCCTCGGGCACAGCATGGCCCTGCACAGTTCACTGCGATGTGTCTGGCAGTGTGGGCAGAGCTGGATCTGGCCCTGGCTGCTCCGGGTGTGTGGCCTGGCCGAGGTGCTGGGCAGAGGGGCCAGGAGCAGCCGTGGTGCAGGGTCCTGGGGGCAGGTGCCAGCACGGGGCTGATGCCTGTCACTCTTGCCCCACAGACTCGGCCGAGAGAGTAGTGCGGCGCTTTGAGGCACCGGGGGTGTCCAACTACACGGCCCTGCTGCTGAGCCCGGACGGTGGGACGCTCTACCTGGGGGCACGAGAACTGCTCCTCACCCTCAACACCAGCAACTTTCAGCCCAGCTCCCCAGTTCGTAGGGTGAGCCCAGGGATGGGCTGGGCAGCCCTTGGGGAGGGAGGGGGCACCCAGCTGGCTGGAGTGCAGGGGATCTGCTCCCCACCAGCATTTTGGGTCTGTGTGAGCCATCGTGCATTCAGGAGCAACTGCCCCAGAGCAGGATGATTGAGGTGGGGAGGATGTGGTTGCTATGAACAAGCCCAAGGAGGGTGTGGGTGGACCAGCCAGGGATGGGGGGGCTCCCAGTGACTGTCCCTTCTCCACAGCTGCTGTGGAGTGCAGATGAGGAGAAGAAGAGGCAGTGTGTGTTCAAGGGCAAGGACCCTCAGGTGAGCCCCGTTGCCAGCAGGCATCGGGGGCTGTCGTGGGTGCAGGCAGTGCCCTGTGCAGGGTGGGTGTGGGTGGGACAGCTGCGCCAAGGGCTGAGCTGGGTCCTCTGACCCCCACAGAGGGACTGTCACAACTACATCAAGCTGCTGCTGCAGCTGAACAGCACCCACCTGTACACCTGTGGGACCTGCGCCTTCAGCCCGGCCTGCGCCTACATCGTGAGTACAGGAACAGGGTCCCCTGCAGGTCCCCCCGTGCCGTCAGGGCCCTGCAGTGGGGTCCTGGGCACTGGGACAAGAGCTGCTGGCTCACAGCCTCATCCTGCTGCAGAACGTGCAGCACTTCAGCCTGGAGCGGGACGCGTCGGGGAAGGTGGTGCTGGAGGACGGGAAGGGACGCTGCCCCTTTGACCCCGAGTACCGCTCCACAGCTGTCATGGTCGGTAAGGCACGACACCCTGGGACCCTCGCCCTTCCTCCCTGTGCCACCCTGGAGCCCTCACCCTCCCTGCAGTGCCTGGGACCTTTGCCCTCCTCCCCGTGCCTCCCCCTCCCTGCGTCTGCCCGGCCAAGCCCGGCCAGGGCCAGGCTATCTCAGACCCCAGCCGTGCTGGTGGCGCGTGGCGGGTCCCAGCAGGAATTTGTCTTTGGCAGACGGCGAGCTCTACGCCGGGACCGTCAGCAACTTCCAGGGCAATGAGCCGACCATCTCCCGCAGCCAGGAGAGCCGCATCGCCCTCAAGACCGAGAACTCCCTCAACTGGCTGCAAGGTGAGTGCTGGGGCTGGCACCTCGGGGTCCCTCTCCCCTGCAGCGTGGGAGGCAAGGGATGGGCCCAGTGGTGCTGAGGGTGCTTGTGCCCCCAGACCCAGCGTTCGTGGGCTCAGCCTACCTGCGGGAGAGCCTCCCTGCCGGCAACCCTGAGGGTGACGACGACAAGGTCTACTTCTTCTTCAGCGAGACCGGGAAGGAGTTTGACTATTTTGAGAACACCATCGTCTCCCGCATCGCACGAGTGTGCAAGGTGGGCATAAGGCAGCGGGGGCATGTGGGGGCTGTGCCTGGGGTGTGACTCACTGCTGGGGTGTGGGGATGTGGGGCCATCCTGCATGTCTGCACCCCTTGGTGCCCGGATCCCCGCTCTGTCCACTCAGCACATGGGGTGTCCTGCATTCATGGCATCCCACCCTGACCCGCTGTGCCACGCAGGGGGACCAGGGCGGGGAGCGCGTGCTGCAGCGGCGCTGGACAACCTTCCTGAAGGCACAGCTGCTCTGCTCACACCCTGAGGATGGGTTCCCCTTCAACGTGCTGCAGGACATCTTTGTGCTCACCCCGGGTGAGCTGCGCTGGAGGGAGACGCTCTTCTATGGTGTCTTCACCTCGCAGTGGTGAGTGGAGGCGAGCCAGGGCAGCACGGGAGGTTTGGCAGAGCCAGGGCCTGATCTTGCCTGTCCTCACCAGGAACAAGGGTGGACTGGGCAGCTCGGCCGTCTGCGCCTTCCCCATGCGCAGCGTGCAGCGTGCCTTTGGCGGGCTCTACAAGGAGGTGAACCGCGAAACGCAGCAGTGGTACACGGACACCAGCCCCGTGCCAGAGCCCCGGCCAGGCATGGTAGGTGGCCCCTCAGCCCCTGCCCGAGCACGGGATGCAGCACTGCCCCGTTGCTCTCCCGGTCCCAGTGGCTGCCACAGCAGCCGCTTCCCCAAGCCCTTCTGAGCCCCTTCCTTTCCCCGCAGTGCATCACCAGCCACACACGGCACCTGAAGATCAATTCATCGCTGCAGATGCCAGATCGGGTGCTGAACTTTATCAAGGACCACTTCCTGATGGACAGCCCCGTGCGCAGCCAGCCGCTGCTGCTGCAGAGCCACCGGCGCTACCAGCAGATCGGCGTGCACCGCGCGCAGGGCCTGCACGGCACCTACGACGTCCTCTTCCTGGGCACGGGTGGGTGCAGGCGGGCTGTGGCGCGGCTGGGCGTGTGCCTGCACCCCGGCCCTGCTCAGCACAGCCCCTCTGTTTGCAGACGACGGGCGGCTGCACAAGGCTGTGCGGGTGAACCACGGTGTGCACATCATTGAGGAGATCCGCCTCTTCCCCGACGGGCAGCCCATTCTCCAGCTGCTGCTGGACCAGGACCAGGCAGGAGCCGGGGCGAGGGGGGCACTGGGGGCTCAGCCTGCTTGGGGCTGGTCTTGTTCGTGGGCTGGGGGAAGGCAGGGGTGTGCAGGAGCCCACCCCGCTGACCCCAGCATGTCTCCTCCTGCAGGGCCTTGTCTACGCAGCCACCTACACAGCAGTGGCCCAGGTGCCCTTTGCCAACTGCAGCCTGTACCGCAGCTGTGGGGAATGTGTGCTGGCACGGGACCCCTTCTGCGCCTGGAGCCGGGGTGCCTGCCGCAGGGTCGCCCCACATCCCCCGGCACACCCACAGTAAGTGCTGCACCCTCTGCCATCCCCCTCCACCCCACGGCACCCCACTGCCCTGCCCTGTCTCTGTTCCCAGGCTCTGGGCACAGGACATCGAGGATGCTGACACGGAGCGGCTCTGCCAGCTGGCCAACGCCTCCCAGCCCCGTCCCCGCATCCTGCTGCCGCCAGGTGAGCTCTGCTGGTGCTGCTCTGTGTGCTGTGTGTCCCAGGGGCTCTCCCCATCCCAGACTCCTGCTCCACCGCGCTCCCATCAGCTGATGTTCCCACGGGTTCTCTCTGCAGACTCGGGCGCCCCGTGCCAGCAGATCCAGCTCCCTCCCAACGCAGTGCGGCCGCTGCCGTGCCGGCTGCTCTCCAACCTGGCCTCGCGGCGCTGGCTGCACAACGGGGCACCTGTCAACGCCTCCTACCTGGTGCTGCCCGACGGGGCCCTCATTCTGGTGGGCAGCCCGGAGCGTGCGGGCACCTATGAGTGCTGGTCGCTGGAGGAGGGGTTCCGCAAGCTGATGGCCAGCTACTGCGTGGGCGTGCAAGAGCCAGCCCTTGGGCCAGCAAACTCTGGCAGGAAGGTGGCCGCTGGCCGTGACGCCCTGGAGACGGTCAGCACGTCCCGGAGCACCTCGGCGGTGGGCAGCGCTGCAGCGCGGCTGGACGGCAAGACCTACTGGACCGAGTTCCTGGTGATGTGCGTGCTCTTCGCCGCTGCCGTCCTCGTGCTGGCCTTCTTTGTCCTGCAGCGGCACCGTGACGGCATGAAGGCCTTGCTGGAGCCCGGCGACCCCAGCAGGCACCAGAAGCCACCCCGCAAGCCAGTGGAGAGCCTGCCCCTGAACGGCAGCAGCCTGCCCAGCACGGCTCCTGAGCACAAGGGCTACCAGGCCCTGCAGGACAACTACATCGCCAGTACCCCCGTGCATGAGCCCCCGGGACCCACACGCACCTTCTCTGAGTCAGAGAAGAGGCCTCTCCACGTCCGTGACAGCTTCGTGGAGGTGTCTCCTGCCTGCCAAAGACCCCGGGTGCGCCTGGGCTCCGAGATCCAGGACTCGGTGGTGTGACGGGGATGAGAGCCGAGCCCTCGCTCACCACTGCCTCTGCTCTGCTGAGCCTCACTGGACCGTGCACCACTGCCAGGGTCCATGTTGTCTGTGTGTGCATGCCCAGAGCCTGCACCCACCCTCTGCGGCAGCGCCCACCAGCCAGGGGGGTTCAGAGCCCTCCCCGGGCATCACCTCGGTACTTGTGGGTGTGAGGGGTGCCCCACACCTGCCAGGGTCCTGCAGGGCGGTTCCAGCCCAGCGCCCCTGCTGCAGGGCCAGACACGGTTCCTGGCTCAGGCTGCTGGTGCGGGCTCTGCCAGGCCCTGACCCCCTCTATGCAGAGGGCAGGAGGGGGCGGCCGCAGACCCCTCGTGCCCCAACTCACTGTGACGTCCCGCTGGGGACTAGGGCCACGCGTGCGGCTGGGCAGTGCCAGCCCCGCGGCATGTGCTGTGTGTCTGTGCTTGGTTCGTTTTTGATATGTGGAAAATGTGAATTGTGTCCGGGGAAGGGGAGCTGGGGACAGCTTCCCCTGCGCGGGGTGGGCAGGGACGCCCCCCGGCCCCACGTGTGTGTGCGGGAACGTCTCTCGTTTTTATATAAAGTCCTTCAGACACGTCTGTGCGGCAGGGCTCGGTGCCTTCCTCGGCCAGAACCGTCCCTGTTGGTGCCGTGGAGAGCAGCCACGTCTGGCTCTCACTGCAGTCAGAGGGAGATCTGCCCGTGCCTTCAGAGGGGGCAGAGGACTGCGCTGGCCATCAGCTCTCTGGAGTCTTCTCCTCGTGTGCTTGGCTGAGCACTGGGCCAGGGCACGCGGGGCCCTGCGGGGACAGTGGCTGTGTCCCTGTGACCTACTGGCAGGCTGTCACTCGGGCAGCCCCCTGGGGCTGTGCCGTGGCAGCGTGCTGCAGGGAGGCCCTTGGGGGGGGAGCACAGAGCCATGGGGTGATGCCACCCTGGCACCATGAGGAACAGGAGAAGGCAGAGGTGACCAGGAGTAAGAAAAGTTGGTGCCTGGGGCTGGGAGGAGAGCAGCCCCCAGTCGGAGAGAGGCTGTGACAGCCCCCTTCCCAGGACCACAGTGTTGTGCTGCATGTGGGACCCACTGCCAGCTCGGGGAGCATCAGGTCCTTGTGCCCATCCCACCCTGCTGAGGGCTGGCTCTGGACACTTTCCCAGCAGGACCTGACTGTGTGGTGGCTTAGGGCGAGGCCTGGGCTTGCAGCCAGTGCTGCTTTTGAGCCCTCACACAACTGGGAAGCACCGGCAGTGCCAGCACAGGGCTGGGGGAAGTGGTGAGCTCCGCAGAGATGGCGTGTCCAGGCAGGATTCCCCCGAGGGACCAGCACTGCCTTGCTCCCAGCTGGACCCATGCACTGCACTTCCTGCACAGCCTGTTCTGGGACATCAAAAAAGCCACTGGAGGCGTTGGCTGGTGAGCTGCCAACAGACACGGCCCCGGGGCTGTAGGGGCACGGGCCTCGGCGGGCACATACTGTCAGCACCGTAGGGCAGCGAGCTGGAAGGGCTGGCAGCGCCGGGAGCAGGAGCCACTGTGTGAGAAACAGCCACGCCAGAGCCCCGAGAGCCTTCAGCTGCTTTGCCCCAGCACGGGCTCTGCGGGGCCAGCCCGACCCCAGGCTCACACCAGTCCTGGCAGGGCAGGGAGGATCCTGAACGAGGACAAAGGATCCTGAACGAGGACAAGGGACCCTGCTGCTGCTGCCCGCAGTGGCGGTGCCACTCGCTGCCCAGGGTTCCCCTTAGTGCCCCCAGGCTGAGCTCTTCGTGCTGCCCAGAAGGATCCCCGCGTGGGGGAGGGAGGGAAGGAGGTGGCCCATGGAAAGGCTGTCGTGGAGAGGACGTGGAACCATCCCCTGGAGCGGCGGCTGGCACGCAGGCAGAGGCCTGGCAGGAGCCCATGTCCCCAGCACCCTGGTGGCACCCGTCCCGCAGCCGGACAAAGGCAGCAAAGAGCAAGGGTGAAACCAGAGCCCTTTAATTGTGTCCTCACAGGGACTGGGGGAGGAAGAGGCCAGGGCGGCAGAGCAGCTGCTGTGCTGGAGCCAGAAGAGAGCAAAGACGGAAAGGGAGGAGGAGGAGGAGGAGGAGTGCAGGCTCTGAGCACAGCCGTGGGGACAGCTCTGCTGTGGGGTGGCACCTGTACAGTGACTCTTGGGTGACTGCTCAGAGAAAGCACCCCCATTAGGGTTATTGCTTGTGAAACACGATCCACTTTTTGGTTATTGCTCAGAGGATCCACGTTCAGTTATTGGTCAGAGAAATGGATCCAAGTGGCAGCAGGCAGGCTCCCAGAAATGCAGGAGAGGCAGGAAGAGGCTGGCAGGGGAGGCAGCTGCCTGCCTGCTGCTGGAAGGCACAAGGTAGGAATTGGTCCTGAGGGCAGAGAGGGGCTGTGCTGGTGCAGAGTGGCCCCAGGCAGGAGCAGCTCTTCCTCCCCCACCGGCAGAGCTGCCCTTGGAATGCATAAGGATTCAAATTCTAGTGCTAGGACAGCAGGGGGGCGGCAGGAGAAGCAGAATCCTGGGACCCCTGCTGCCAAGCAGGCACCTGAGAGGGGAGCAGGAGGGTTCCTGCCCAAGGCACTGCAGCACAGCCAGGCCATTGAGGGGCCAGGCCTGTGCTCCCTGAAAGAGGAAATGGCTGAGCCCACAAAGAGCTGCAGGAGCTGGAGGGGTGCAGGAGGAGCTGGACGAGTGCTGCCGGACAGCCACGGGGCTCACAGGACAATCTTGAAGGAGCTGCAAAAGATATGACAGGACCTGCACCTGCCTGCTAGGTCACACAAAGGGTTTGCAAGCACTCAGCGCTGCAGGGAGCAGAATCCCTCTGTGGGAATGCTTTGCAGAGCCAGCAGGGCATGCAGAGCCCTCTGCCATTACGGCTGCTTGGCACAGGGCAGCCCTGCCCCAGTGGCAGCTGAGCAATCAGGGTGACAAACCCCCAGGCAGCCTCTGGAGCCCACCGCACCTGGCAAAGTCCGGGGAGCGCGAGACCACGTGCTGGAACTCGGAGAGGTTGATGGTGCCGTCCTTGTCGATGTCGGACTCCTCCAGGATCTGTGGGGAAGGTGAGCAGGGAGCTCCGTGCCTGGGGCCGTGCAGTGCCCCTGCCCTGGCCAGCAGCCCTCACATTTTGGATGAGCTGCTCCATCTCCGCGCTGCTCAGCCGGGACTCCTCGCCTTGCCCCGTCAGGCAGTTCACCAGCTGCTCCAGGTCCTTCCTGTCCAGAGTCCCATCGTTATCAAAGTCTGTGGGGACAGACAAGGCAGGTTTTGGCAGGGCCACAGTAAGCCCAGAGAGCCACAGGCACTGGCACTGCACCACACCAAACTAGCTGTTCCCACAGGGAGTTCTAAAGCCACCATCCCCGTGGGTGCTCCAAGGGCACTGCCAGCCCTCCTGAACATCAATTCATCACCCTGCTCCCACCTCCTCAAGGTGCAGGGATCCCAGAACACAGCACCTGTCCTCAGCCTTACCAAAGATGCGGAAGGCATAGTGGGACTTGATGTCAGAGGTGGCAGAATCGCTGAAGACACTCAGCATGTCGAGGAAGTCTTCAAACGACATGCTGTCATCCCCGGCCTCTGAGGTTGAGAACACGTGGCAGATGCGGTGCTGGAAGGGGTTTGCCTGTAGACAGGGGAATGGCTGAGGCAGGGCTGGGCCGTGCTGGCTCCATCAGGCACGCTGTGGCTGTGGCTGCTGCTGCGGCAGGTGAGCGGGTGCCCCGCTCTGCCACTGCTCCATTACCCACAGCACGGTCAAACCCGTCCTGTGCGCCTCCCGGGACGCAGCCCCGCGCAGCGGGGTCCCTTGTGGCACAGCAGAGACCCCCAGGATCCTGCACAGCAGGGACCCTTGGGCTGCTCCGCGGCACAGCAGGGACCTGGGATCCTCAGCTCCTCGGTGAGGACAAGGAAGCTCTGTTGGCACAGCAGAGCACAGAGCACCGGCACAGCGGGGCCGTGCCCGGGAGCAGCAGTGTCCCGTGTCTGCCAGGCACCGTACCCGCAGCTCAGGCAGCGTCAGGATCTGGCTCTTGGGAACCCGCGCGGAGCAGGCGTTCTCCCTCTCCTCCTTTGGCAGCAGGTCACTGAACCTCTTGTAGGCACTTTTAGAGGCAAGAAAGAGAGAGGCTCTGTGGTGGAGCGGGGTGGCAGCAGCCCGTCTGGCACCCAGGGCGGGGTGGCCCGTTCCCACAGCTCCTGCCAGCTCTGCCGGGCCGGGCCGGGCCGGGCCGGGCCGGGCTCCCACAGCTGCTGCCGGGGCACGGAGCGGAGCCGGTCCGGCTGCTGCCCGGCCAGCCCCGGACCTGCGGAGGGTCACCGCGGCTCGGGCCGGCCCCAGCCCTACCCGCTGCCCAGGGCGGCACCGGCAGCGCCCGCGGACCTTGGTCCCGTCACAGCCGGCTCCTAGGGAGCGCCACCGGCACCTCCCGGCTCAGCTGGGCGTCAGGGCGGAACCGGAGCGCTCCGTGCCCCGCGGGAGCGGGCTGGCACGGGAGCCCCACTCACGGTTCTGCGGCCGGCGGTACTTACAGCAAGATCTCCTGCTTGCTCAGGAACGTCAGCTCCTGCGGGGACAGCACGGGTCAGCCGCGGGCCCGAGCCTGAGCCAGGGCACCCAGCCAGGGGCTCCCGGCCCCTGGGCGCCCTCCGGGGCCGCGCCGCCCTGCCGTGCCCCGCTGCGGTGCCGGTACCTGGTACTCGCCCAGCAGGTCCCGCGGGATCAGGCTGGCCGAGCCGCCCATGGCGCCGCTTCCCTCGGCGCGTCCCCGCCCGCCGCCGCGGCAGCTCCGGCCCCGGGCGGGGCAAACGCGCGCGCACGGCCGGCTCCGCCCGCCCGGGCACACGGCGGCTCCCGGGGCCGGCCCCCGCGGGCGCGGCGGCCATGGCGGGAGGGGAGCCGGGCGAGCCCAACCCCGAGGAGTTCGTGTACGGCGAGGAGGACTTCGTGCTGCAGGCAGCCGGCTGGGGCGACCCGGACTCCGCGCCCTCCCGATTCGACCGGGTGCTGCTGGCCGGCTGGAACGACCGTATGGAGCGGGGACTGTTCCGGTACCGGCTGGGACCGCTGCCCACCCGCGTCCTGCCCGGCGCCGTGCGCCTCGTGGCGCAGCTGAACGCGCAGCGCAGCGCGGAGCGCCGCCCGCCGCAGCCCGTCCGCAGCCTCCGCGACCCCTTCGACCCCGGCGCCTTCAACTTCACCCGGCTGCGCCCCGCCGAGCTGCTGTTCCGCCTGCGCCGCAGCGGCGGCCCGGAGCCGCTGCTGGTGGCCATCAACGCCAGCCCGCTGGAGCGGGGACACGTGCTGCTGCTGCCCGAGCCGGCGCGGCGGCTGCCGCAGCTGCTGACGGCCCCGGCGCTGCGCGGGGCGCTGGAGGCGGCGCTGCTCAGCGCCCACCCCGGCTTCCGCGTGGGCTTCAACGGGCTGGGCGGCGGCGCCTCGGTGAACCACCTGCACCTGCACGGGCTCTACCTGGAGCGCCCGCTGCCGCTGGAGGAGGCGCCGGCCGAGCCGCTGGGGCCGCGCCTGGCGCTGCTCCGCGCCGGGCCTGCCCCCGCCTTCCTCTTCTTCGCCGCCGGCCCCGCGGCCCTGGAGCCGGTGTCGCGGGCCGTGTGCCGGGCGGCGGAGCAGCTGGGCGCTGCCGGGCTGGCCTGCAACGTGCTGGCCGCGCGGGGGCCGCGGGCTGCGGGTGCTGCTGTGGGCGCGCCGGCCCGTCTTCGGCCCCAAGGCGGGTGAGCCCTTCGCCGTGGCCTTGTGCGAGCTGGCAGGGCTGCTGCCGCTGCCCGCCGAGCCGCTCTACCGGGACATCACCGAGGCGCAGGCCCTGAGCGCCATCCGCCAGCACCTGCTGCCCGAGCCCGAGCTGCTGCACCTGGGCGGGGAGCTGGCGCGGCTGCTGGAGCGCTGAACCGGTGCCACGGACAGCTGATGGAGCGCTCAGCCGGTGGCACGGACAGCTGATGGAGCGCTGCAGAGCTGACGGCCCCGAGACCGGCAGAGGGCGCTGCGGGGGAGGACACGGAAGTGGCTGTCACGTGACCGCGAGGGGCCGCTCTGCCCGCATGCCCGCGACTCCATGGTGCGGTCGCCATGGGAACGCGGCGGAGCCGGGAGCGGTGCGATGGCGGCGGCGGGCGGCGCCGACGGGGGGAGCATGGGCCCGGGCCCGTCGCCGGCAACCCCTCCGGGCGAGGAGGCGGCCATCGCCGCGGCCCCCCCGGACCGTCCCGCTGCCCCCGCCGGACCCGAGCCGCGGAGGAAGCGCAGGCGAGTGCGGGGCCGCAGCCCCCGGCAGGGTCCGGCCGGAGCCCGTCCAGCCGCTCCCGGCGGCGCCTCCGCTGCCTCACTCGCGCTCGGTCCCGGCCCCAGCCCAGCCGTGCCCCGGCCCCGCTGCTCCCCGCGGCGCAGTGCCCCGGCGGTGCCCGGCGCTCCCCAGCCCCCGGGAGCCGGCCCGGGGTCCCGCTGGCCCACAATAAATGGTGTTCCCTGGAACTGCCCAGAGATCCCCTGTGTGACACAGCCAGGCACGGCTCCGTGACCCTGGGGCTGCAGCGAGCCGGGGCAGGCTCAGTCACACTCCCGCTGTGCTCTGTGAGGGCCATCGGGCTGTGTCCCCGCTGTGTCCCCTGCCCGGTGCCTCGCTGAGCTGCTGTCATCTCGTCTCTATTCCAGTGTCCCCTCCATCAACCTGAGCGGCTGCAAGTACGAGAGTGGTAAGTCAGAGGGGTCCCCGCCGGCTCTGCAGGCGCTGGCACCCAGTTCCCGCTGGTTTATTTACTGCTGCCAGCAGTAGATAACAACAAACAAACTGTTAGTGGGCAGTTTGTCACACTTTGGACTGAGATTTCTCCCGATTTAAAGTGTGCAACAGCAGAGCGAGCCCTCAACACCCCCAACACTTGTGTTTGCCGGCTGTGTGCTAAAATGGGCGAGAAGGGTTCCATCAGGTACAGTGCAAGGAGCAGCTGGGCTCGGAGACAGGACCTGAGGGTTGCCAGCTGTTTAAGGTGAAGCTGGTGTGAGCAGGCAGGATCTGTACCTGGAGCCTCTCCCTGTGCTGTTCATCCCTGGTGACTCCAGGGAGCTGGTCCGCTCTCCCCTCCCACTCTCCTTCCACAAGCTGGATCTTGAAAGAACAAACTCCTGGCCCTCGAGGGGTGTTATTAATCTACTTTGCTAAGGGATCTTGGTGTGTGTGGATCCCCATCAGCCCTGCCAAATTCATACTTTGCACTAGCATGAACCATCTCAGCAGAGACCTTTTTCTGCAGAGCTGTGTTCTGCTGCTGAAAGGCCTTTGATTTGGGAGATTACATTCACACCTTCACAAGACTTGTATCTGCCTGTGAGGTGTAAAACCCACGGGAAGTTCAGTCCCACTGTTGAGAGGCCCTGGCACCCCAAGACAGGTGGGATTAGAGGATTAAGAGCTCCCAGAACACTTGCAGCCAGAGGCTTGGGGGGCTGGCCAGACAAAACTGGTGTTCCTGACACCTTCCAAGGGGCCATGCCAGACCTTACACCTGTGAGAGGGGAACAGCGGCCCGGAGAGCTGCATCCCCCATCCCTGGTCATTCTGGGGGGTGTCAGCCCCTGTGTGTGGCTCCTCAGCCAGAGAAGTGTTTCCCACTCCACGGCTGGTTGCTCTGGGGCTGTGTCAGCCCCTGTACGTGGCTCCCTTGCCTTGGCACAGTGCGGCGGGCGGCGCAGCACTGCGGGCTGAAGGAGGCGGCCGAAAACGAGGAGTGGACGGTGTACTGGACAGACAGCACGGTCACTTTGGAGCGCCTCATGGAAATGAAGCGCTTCCAGGTAAACAGAAGAGCTGCCCAGCGGGAATTGCTCGGGAAGGAGGGTGACACGAGGCTGGCTGTGGAACAGCATGTGGCAGAGTGAAACATGAGCACCCAAGCACAGTGTGCCATCTGTGCCTCGGCTCCAGGGCGCAGGGTCAGATGCCTTTGCTTGTGCCATGTCCCTGGCAGCATTCAGCAGCTGTGGTGGGAGCAGCAGGGTTCCAGCCCTGTGTTGTGCTGTGGAATAAACAGCACTTATGCTGCTCCAGGGCTAAGATGGAATAGGCAGATAAATCAGTAGTGAAGCCCAGATAAAGCAGCTGTAGCAAACCTCACCCCCCAGCAGTAGTTCAAGGCAGCCACAGGCCTGGCTTCCCTCTCACTGCTGGTTCTCCATGCCCGGGCTCTCCTCGGGGCCGGGAGAATCCATCCCCGCAGGGCTCCACTGATGGGGGTTTTTCTGCACCACTTTCAGAAAATCAACCACTTCCCAGGCATGATCGAGCTGTGCCGCAAGGACCTGCTGGCTCGCAACCTGAACCGCATGCTCCGGCTCTTCCCCAAGGAGTACAACATCTTCCCCCGCACGTGGTGCCTGCCGGCCGAGTGAGTGGTGTTGATGATTCCTCTCCGTGTGTGGAGACACGAGGCTTGACTCCATTTCAGAAGGCTGATTTATTATGTTAGATATTATATTAAAATGCTACATTAAGACTATACTAAAGAACAGAGAGATCAGAAGGCTACAACAAGAACAGAATAGACTAGAATAACAAAAATCCTGTGACTGCTCACAGCCTTGGCACAGGTGGCTGTGATTGGTCATCAATGGAAAACAATCCACATGCACCAATCCCATCTGCACCTGTTGCATTCCACAGCAGCAGATAGTAATTGTTTACATTTCTCTCCTGAGGCTCCTCAGCTTCTCAGGAGAGGAAAAATCCCAGCAAAGGATTTTCCATAATATCATAGCTACAGAGTGGCACCGGGGACGGGGTGGCACGCTTTGGGGAGGCTGCTGGCTTGCTCCTTCTGGGCACCAGAGCCCAAACCCTCACTTGCTTTCACCTCCTCCACAAACCTCCCAGCAGAGGCGGAGATGTGCGCAGGGAAAAGGAGGGAAGTGGAGGCTGGGTCGGGTCACACAGGTCACAATCTGTGACTCCTGCAGATTAGGAATGGGAGTTCACTTCATCCCCTGCAGAAGTTCAGTGTGTGCTGGCCTGCAGCACCATGGTTTCAGTACCCAGTGTTAGGAGAGAGTTGAGAGGGGTGTTTTTTGCAGCTGGTGATAGTCACCCCTCCCTTGCACAGCTACGGAGATTTCCATGCCTATAGATCCACGAGGAAAGCAAGAACATACATCTGCAAGCCCGACAACAGCTGCCAGGGAAGAGGGATCTTCATAACCCACCACCCAGAGGAGATCAAGCATGGGGAACGCATGATCTGTCAGCAGTACATCTCTGAGGTACTGGGACAGTCCTGGAACATCGGGGTAGGATTCCAGCATCCCCCATGCTCCCCGGGTCTGCTCAGGTCTGCTGCAGGTGTTGGTGTGGCTGTGGCACATCGGGGACACAGACAAAGCTTGTCCCTCTGCTGAGCAGCACAGGCAGAGGAGCAGTTCCTCACCTCACCCTTGCTCCTGCCTCTTTCCTCCCAGCCCTTCCTCATCGATGGCTTCAAGTTCGACATGCGCATCTACGTGCTGGTCACATCCTGTGACCCACTGAAGATTTTCCTTTACAAGGAGGGCCTGGCCCGGTTTGCCACCATGAGGTACATCGATAACAGCACGAGAAACCTGGTAAAGAGGACGTTTTTAAAAAAAAACTCATATAGTGTCTGTAGGTGTCAGCCCTTAACTTGTCCTGGGGGCATTCCAGGCCTTGAAAAGGCAGGTATTGGGGGTTGCAGGAGTCCCAGCTCGATGCTTTCCTGTTCTTCCTCTATACCCCTTCCTCCTCCTCACAGGAGGTGTTTCAGGAGGGATAGTACATCTACCCTGAGGCCCCACATTTGGGCTGTTTACTGGCATTACCATGGAATCATGGAATTGTTTGCTTGGATGGAACCTTGGAATGTCTCCAACCTCACGCTGAAAACTTGGTCAACAATAAATTCGTATCTGATTTCTCAGGGTCTCACCCCGTCAGGTTTTGAAAACCTGCAGAGTGAAGCCCCCCCTGGTGTCTCTGGGCAGCATGTTCTGCTTCTGGCTCTGATAAGAATGCTCAATTCCACACCATTCCTACTCTGCCCATGCTTCAGGCAGAAAAGAACCTGGGAGTATCTGGTGGGGCTGTTCCTGTTCTTGCTCGGTGGTTCAGAGTGAACAAACATCTCTTGTGGTCCCCTGCCAGGGTGACATCTGCATGCATCTGACCAATTATGCAATCAACAAACACAATGAGAACTTCATCAAGGACGACACGGTGGGCAGCAAGAGGTACTGGCATGTCCACGCACTGCAGGAACACTGCCTGGGGACAGTGGTTTACCTCAGCTTTCCTGGGTGACACAGCTGAGCCCTTACCCCTTCCTCTTCCCACACAGGAAACTGTCCACCCTCAATGCCTGGATGGCAGAGCACAACTATGACACATCAAAGCTCTGGGCAGATATTGATGACATTGTTATAAAGACACTGATTTCAGCTCACCCTGTGCTGAAGCACCATTACCAGACCTGCTTCTCCAACCACACTACTGGCTGTGCCTGCTTTGAAATCCTGGGCTTTGACATTTTGCTGGATAGAAGGCTGAAGCCATGGCTGCTGGAGGTGAGGAAGGAGTGGAGAGCTCAGAGCTGGGGGACTAGGACGGGATTTGGGATGAACAGGGCTTGTTTGACTCAAAAGGGCCACCTTGCTCATGGAATTAACCAGGCTCTGAAGCCAAACAACCTGCTGTGAGCAGGATCCAAGAGAACCCATTTCCTGCACACCATCTAACAGGGAGTTTCCCAAGCCTTCACACCCCTGTCCTGTGAGCACCCCGAATTTGTGACAGCTGCCCCCTGCCTGCACCGTGTGGGGTGGGATCCAGGTGACCTGTGGCACAAGTAGGCACAGGAGAGAGTGCTGTGTGTGGCTTCCTGGCTCTGACAGGCAGCAGAGTTCCGTGGGCAGTGTGGGGCATGGCTGGGGCCATGGGCCAGGAGCTGGGGGGCCAGGTTACGTTACCTGCTTGTCTTGGCAGGTGAACCACTCTCCCAGCTTCAACACAGATTCTCAGGTAGACCATGAGGTGAAGGATGCCCTTCTGTGTGACACCTTCAACCTGATCAATGTGCACGCCTGTGACAGAAAGAAGGTGCTGGAGGAAGACAAGCGGCGGGTAAAGGAACGGCTCCTTCAGGCCAACCAGACTCCCTGGGAGTCCAGGTATTGCTGATCCCCCACAGTGCTGCAGGCCCAGTGAGCAAAGACAGGGCATGACAGAGCACAGTAACAGCAGTGCTGGCTGCTGGAAGCTCCTGGAGCCCATGGCATTGTGCAGCCTGCGTCCTGCAAGGAGGAGCCAGGGCTCTCCTCTCTGGGGGCCAGGAGATGTGTGACACCTTGTGCTCTGCGCCCTGGCAGAGCTCTCCCCAGGCTGCACCTGCTTGTCATCTCTTTTGCTGGGGATGGGCAGTGCCAGCATTCTGGGCTGGCAGGGATGCTCACATGAGGAACCGCAGCCCTGCCTCAGGAACTGGGGTGCCCTGCTCATGGCCCCTTCTCCAGGGCAGGGGTCCTTGCCAGGGCTGAGGGTTTCCCATTCCTCTGTCTGCCCCATGCCCTTTCACAAGCCCTGTTCAGTGAGCCTGCTGCCTTGCAGGCAGAGCGTGGCTCTCCAGCTGCTGAAGTCCTGGGATAATCCTGGAACATGCTGAGCACGTCAGCCCTGCACTCCGCCTGCCCCAGAGCCTCCCTCCAGCCCTGTCCTCCCTCCCTCCCGCTGCAGGCGCAGGGAGCAGGAGAGCAGCCAGGCTGCCTGGCTGGCACAGGCTGAAACCTACGAGAACGAGCACCTGGGGGGGTTCCGACGCATCTACCCAGCACCTGGGACAGAGAAGTATGAGCCATTCTTCCAGCAGAGCAGGTCCCTCTTCCAGGAAACAGCAGCATCCAAGGCAAGAGAAGAGTATGCCAGGTATGCTGCTCCTATGGAAACCCACTTCTCCCAGGTGGCATGGAGACCACTTGCTCCTGATCCCTCCTGGGGAGCAACTCTGCTGCTTGGCAGGTGTGAGGAAGCAGGCAGAGTGGGAGGGGAAAGGAAGGAGCCTGCACGTGCTGTGGCATCACAGCAAAGTGGCTGCTTTTGGATGGACTCCAGAGAGGCAAGGGCAGTACTCCATTGACTTTTGGACCCTGGAGACATCATTTCCCAAATGTCCCCCTCCCTTTTGGCAAGCACAGCCTAATCCAAGGGCATTTCTCCTTTTAAAAGTCTCTTTACAATCAACCCATCCCATCCCCTCTCTTGGCACACTTCTATTATGGGCTATTCGTACAGAACTTGGGCCTGCAGTAAATGTCCTGAGGTTGAAATCTGCCCCACAGCCTGTTGCTGTTGTGGCTCTGAGCCAGTGAGTGAGTGTGCTGTTCTGTGGCAGGCAGCAGCTGGAGGAGATGCGCCTGAAAAATGAAAAGATGGAAGCTGCCAGTAAGAAGAAAACAGAGAGGATCCAGAATAAAAGCACAACTCCTACAACCCACCTTTCCTACAGAAGCACCAAGGCGTGGGACAGAAAGGTACCTCAGTGTCAGCACTGTCCCTGGGCTCTCCAAGTCACTGATATGGCTCTGGGAGCTGTGCTGAGCCATTGGTGCACCCATGGAGCAGAAATTCCAGGTGTGACTCCCTGCCTGAAGTTCAGAGTCAACAGCTTGTGTTGGCAGTACTTGCAAGCACCAGTGTTGTGCCTTTCCACTTTGTCTCTCCCTGGGATCTCTGTCCCCCATGAGACTGTAACTGTCCCCAAGGTTGGAGCAGCTTTGTCTCACCTGTGTGTTATCCCAGCTTCAGCTTTGCTGCAGCTCAGGTGTTTCTCTGCCGAGGTGCAGCGCGTGCAGTACAACTCCATGCAGCCCCAGAGCATCGTGGAACATGAAGAGAAGAGGAGAGTGAGTGCTCTGCTGCAGCGTGAGAGGCAGATCCGAGGCCTGGGCATCGCCGAGCTGCTTTCCCGGCTGCTCCCCACACCTCACTCCCAGGGATCCTGCACACTCCAGAGCCAGGTAATGGCACTGCCCCCAGCCCCCCACACAAGGGGATTGGGCACTGAGCATCTCTGGTGGGGCAGGACGGGGGTCTGCTGCAGGTGCATCAGCTGCTGTGCCTTCAGGATGATGAGTCTGGAATGCTGGTGGGGGCATACCTGGGGACCAAGTGCGGGGTGATGTGTACACCCGGGTGTGACTGGAGACTCTTGTTTCCCTTCTCCTGCCATGGCCATTTTCCTTCCCTCCTTCCAGCTGCCGTTTCCCTGGGATGTCATCGGGGACCACAACGCCCACGATGTAATGATGTTTTTCTCGTTCCTGGGAGTCCCAGCTCAGACCCTGGCACACAGGGCCACAGCCAGCCCCAGAGGCCAGGCCCTGCCGCGGCACTTCCCCGGCCCGGATCCCGAGGACATGCAGACCCTCTGCATCCAAGGGCAGAGTGTCCCGTACCACGCGCGGCACGAGGGCTGGCGGGCGCTGGGCGGGGGCTGGCTGCAGGGCCAGGCGGCGGGGGCAGCGCTCACCCAGCCCTGCGCCCACCCCAAGGGGCTGCAGCTCAGAGACCAGGCTTTGCCTGGCACCGGCAGCCGCGCTGAGGAATGTAAGTACACATCACCTTCCCGTGCACGCTCCTGGCCTTGCCGGGGTGGGAGGAATGGGTGGGCTCGATGGAGCTCTCAGGGACGCTGGGGCACTGCAGAAGGGTCGCCGTGCTCTGCTGGGGGCACCGGTGACCGCTGGAAATCTCTGAGGCTTGGAGATGCCATTTGCAGGGACAGGGAAGAACCATGGGTGGTTTCCCAGGATCAAGGGTTGATGTGCAGGCATGGGGGATTGTGAGAAGCCAGGAAAGTCAAAGGGGTGCATTAGCTCCTGGGGGTCAGAGGGGACATGGTGACATAGCATAGCCCCCAGTCTCTTCCCAGGTCTCCCTCCCACCACACTGCTCCCTGCCCATGCTCTCACCCTCCATCCTCGCCCAGCCCGGCTCCCTGGCATCGGCTTCATCCACTTTGCAGCCTTAGGACCCGGGGAGCAGGGGCAGAAGAGGGGCTGCGAGGACCAAGCCCCACTGGGAAGGGCAGTGGGGGCTGCTGACCTGCAGAGCCGCTGGCTCTGCACAGCCCCACACCTGTCTGTGCTGTTCCAGGTGATGATGGTAGTCTGTCATCCTTCGATGGAGGCAGCTGTCCCCCAGCTTCCCCAGCCAGCCCAGAGCAGGCCACAGGTGATGGCATCTTCAGCTGTGCTGTGGTGCAGGAGCTTCCCACCGCCACTGCCGCTCACGTGCAGCACACACAGGCCTCAGACCACGGCAGAGCCTCGCCGTGCCAGTGCCTCACACCATGCCAGCACCTTGCCCCGTGCCGGTGCCTCACACACTCACAGCCTGAAAAGCACAGGTAACATGGCCAAGGGCTCAGCCTTCCTCCCGTGTGTGCTTGCATGAGTACCAGGACTTTCTGGATGAAACCAGGACAGCTGATGGCTGCCTCCATCAACTCTGGGGTCGGCCGCTGAGCCCCCTGACCAGAGCCCACCTGCCCCGGCCAGCTTCACCTCTGCCAGGACCGGAGACTGGTGCGTGTGCCCCTGTCCGTGCCCTGCCCGCGTGTCTGAGACCCGCAGCCGCCGGCGCTGAACCCTCCAGCGGCCACCTCGCTCTGCACCGCCGGAACCGCGCGGGCCCCGCCCGTGCCGGGCTGTTCCGGGCTGTTCCGGGCCATGGCGGCGCTGCTCCTGCGGGCGCTGCCGCGCCTCGCGGATGGAGCGGCTGCGGCGGGAGCTGGGCGGGGGGCGCGGAGCCCCCGATCGCGCCCTGACCTGGCAGGCCATGGAGCAGCTGCGGTGAGCGCGGGGCCGGGCGGGCCCGGAGACCGCGCCGGTGAGCGCCCCGGTGACCGTGCCGTGCCCGCAGGTTCCTGCGGCAGGAGCTGCCCGAGGAGTGGCCGCTGGAGCGCCTGGCCCAGGGCTTTGGCGTCAGCCCCGACGTGGTGCGGCGGGTGCTGCGGAGCCGCGGCTGCCCCTCGCCGCGCCGCCGCCTGCGGCAGGACCAGCGGGCGCTGAGCGCCGCCGCCACGGCTCCGCCGCCGGGACGGGGAGCGGGGGACGGGCGCGAGGTGCGCGCCCCCGACGGGACGCTGCTGTACCGGCTGCCGCGGGGCTGGGGCGGGCAATAAACGCACTTGGGACCCGCCTCCGCCTGTGCCGCTTCCGTCGCGCCGGGCGCGGGCTCCGAGGCGGCGGGGATGAGCTCCGAGGCGGCGGGGATGGGCTCCGAGGCCCCGGGGATGGGCTCCGGAGCGGCGGGGATGGGCTCCGAGGCGGCGGGGATGGGCTCCGAGGCCCCGGGGATGGGCTCCGTGGCGGCGCGGCTGCTGGAGGCCGTGGACTTTGCAGCCAGGAAACACAAGGAGCAGCGGCGGATGGATCCCGAGGGCACCCCCTACATCAACCACCCCATCGGTGCGGAACCCCCCCGGCACCGCGTCCCGCTCCCGGGAGACCCCCGCGGCCGCTCTCTCCCGGCGCACCGCTCACCCCGGGGCCCCTCCTGCCCCGGCGCGCTGCCAACCCCGGGAGCCCCTCACCCCGGTCCCTGCACAGAGCCGTGTCCCGTGCCCCGTGCCATGGCCTCGGCCCGAAGCGGGCAGAGCTGCCGGAGCACCGCAGCCCTGCCCCGGCCCTGTGTCTGGCTGCCACCCCGTGCTGCCCGGCTGTGCCCGGGCCCACGGGGGGCCGCTGCCAGGCCTGGGGACAGCCCCTGCGACCTTCCTGCCTGCCCAGCCGAAGGGTTCACCGCAGGGCTGGTCTCGGGGAGCCTCGCTGCCCGCCGGTGGCGCAGCCCCCGTGCCACAGGGGCGCGGAGCTGCCTGTGCCCCGCCGCCTCCCGCCACCTTTCCGTTCTCTGGCAGCCGTCGCCAGGATCCTGGCGCATGAGGCCGGCGTGACGGACGTGGTGGTGCTGCAGGTAACGCCCTGCCCGGCCCTGCCCGGCCCGGCCCGAGCCCCTGCTGCCCCCCGCGTCCCCTCCTCGCCGCAGGCCGCCCTCCTGCACGACACGGTGGAGGACACGGACGCCACGTTGGCGGAGATCGAGGAGCGGTTCGGTGCGGAGGTGCGGCGCGTGGTGCACGAGGTGACGGACGACAAGAGCCTGCCCAAGATGGAGCGCAAGCGGCTGCAGATCGAGCGCGCTCCCGGCTGCAGCCGCCGCGCCAAGCTGGTCAAGCTGGCGGACAAGCTGCACAACCTGCGGGACCTGAACCGCTGCACCCCGCAAGGTACCGGCGGAGCCCCGGGCCGCGGGGACCGCAGCGCCCGGTGCAGCGGCACGGGCCCGGCCAGCAGCACGGCTGGCTGTGCCGAGGGACAGAGGGGCCCTGCGCTGGGCCGGGGCATGGCGGGGCAGTGTGTCTGTGCCGGTGTCCCCGTGGGACCGGGACCGGGACCGGGACCGGGGGGGGGCCAGGAAGTGACGTCACGCGTGTCCCCGCAGGCTGGTCGGAGGAGCGCGTGCAGGAGTACTTCCGGTGGGCGGCGCGCGTGGTGTCCGGGCTGCGCGGGACCAGCGCGGCCCTGGAGGGGGCGCTGCAGCGCCTGTTCGAGGAGCGAGGCGTGCCCACGTGACCGGGGGCCGCGCCCGCCTCCGCCAATAAACGTGCGCAGAGCTCGGCGTCTCTGGGTTGTCATGGTATCGCGCGGTTCCGCCGCCGCCGAGTTCCGGCCGCGCCGCGCCCGCGCTGGCGCGTTCCGGTGCCGAGCGGGCCCCCGCCATGGCGCTCGCCGGGCGGCGCGACGCGCCGGAGCCGCCGGACTTCGGCATCCTGAAGCGGCTGGCGCGGGACCAGCTCGTCTACCTGCTGGAGCAGGTCCGGGGGGCCCCGGGACGGGCATCCCGCAGCGGGGCGGGCGGAGCGAGTCGGCGGGATGGGCGTTGGCCGGGGCGGGCGCGGGGGGTCCCGGCGCGGGGCAGCCGCCGGTGCCCGCTCATGCCCGGCTGCCCGCAGCTGCCCGGGAAGAAGGACCTGTTCATCGAGGCCGACCTGATGAGCCCCCTGGACCGCATCGCCAACGTGTCCATCCTGAAGGTAGCGCGGGCCCGCTCGGGCCGCCCCCGCCCGCCGCCGCCCGCGCCCGACCCGCGCCCTGTCCCCGCAGCAGCACGACGTGGACAAGCTGTACAAGGTGGAGAGCCGGCCGGGGCCCGGCGCCAGCGACCAGTGAGTGCCCGAGGGTGGGCTGGGCAGGGTGGACAGGCTGGGCAGGGCAGGGCAGGGCTGGGCTGGGCAGGATGGGCTGAGCCGGGCCGGGCTGGGCCGGGCAGGGTGGGCTGGGCAGGCAGGGCAGGCAGGGCAGGCTGGGCTGAGCCGGGCCGGGCTGGGCCGGGCAGGGTGGGCATGGTGGGCTGCCCGGCACGGAGCCTCCAGCGGCCTCGCCCCCTGTGCCGCAGGTTCTGCTTCCTGGTGCGGCCGCGGGTCCGGACCATGCGGCTCATCGCCGGTGAGTGCGGCTGCCCTCGGCTGGGCCGGTGCTGCGGGCCGCCGCTGAGCCCCGGCCCCGAGCGGGCGGGCAGCTGTGCAGGGGCTCTGCGCGGTCTCCACAGATATTGTCAACGCTGACAAGATGTCGGGCAGGAGCAGGAAGTACAAAATCATCTTCAGCCCCCAGAAGGTCAGTGGGAGCCGCGGTGCTGCCCGTTCCCCCGTCACTCTGCCTGCCCGGCCTCTGCACCTTCCACCCTTCTATAGGCACCAGAAATTGTAACCCAGAAATGTTTAAGTAAACCCACGAGTTGTGCTGCTTGGGAAGGTGCTGGGCCCCTCCCGAGCTTTGCCTGCTCAGAGCCTGCCTGGCCCTGAGGGTCTCCCCTTCCCTTCCAGTTCTGTGCCTGCGAGATGGTGCTGGAGGAAGAGGGGGTCTTTGGAGGTGAGTGGGGCTGCAGTGCTGCTCGGGGTGGCTGACACCACGGGATCCCCGTTAAATCCCAGTGCTGGTATCCCCGTGTGGGCAGGGAACACGGGTTCTCTCGAGGCTGGCTGCCAGCCTGCAGGCAGATGTGTGCCCACACAGCATCAGTCCCTCTCTTCTGCCCGAGGGGAGGAGAGAGGGTCCTGCCACCCATCCTGTCTGAAGCTCCACAGGCCCTGTTTTGGGGCTGCTGTGATTCTTGGGGCTCTTCCTGCCCGGGCAGGGCAGGGCACAGCTGTCCCCTGTCCCTGTCCTGAGCACAGATGTCACCTGTGATGAATGGTCCTTCTACCTGCTGCCCCTGGATGAGGACATCATTAGCATGGAGCTGCCCGAGTTCTTCCGTGACTACTTCCTGGTCAGTGGGACGCTCTGGGGGGTGGCAGCCCATCCTGTCCCCTGTGCCTCACGGGGCTGGGCACGAGCTGCTGTTCAGAGAGGAGCTGTGTGGCCCTGCCAGCCCCTCAGTGCGCACCACAGCCCCTTTTGCTCCCCAGGGCAGCTTTTGCTGGCCCCTCTGCCCCTGGCCCAGCAGCTTGGGGCAGCTCCCGTTGTGTGCCGGGCACGGAGCTCCCAGCTCCGTGCCAGCCCAGCCCCTGCCCTGCAGTCCTTGCCAGCCAGCTGCCACACTCACTGCCTCATCCCCAGGAGGGAGATCACCGCTGGATCAACCCGGTGGCCAGGGCCCTGCAGCTGCTGAGCTCCCTCTACGGCCCCTTTGGGAGGACGTATGGCATCGGCCGCTGTGCCAAGGTGGGGCTGGCACCGGGCCCTTGGGTCCTGTCAGGGTGTGCCTGGCAGGGACCTGGACCCTGCCAGCCTCACAGCAGCACATCACCAGCGGTGTCACTGCGCTGTGCCTCCTCCTGGGCGGGTTTGGGGGTCCCGTGTGCCAGGCTGGGCAGCGGAGGGGCGACTGCTGGCTGGGGTGTGGGGAGCCCCCTGTGCCCTGAGGGCAGGAGGCTTTGTGCCTGGCCTTGGCTGTCAGCCCCGCTGTGTGCCAGGGGTGCTGCTGGCTGGGGTGTGGGGAGCCCCCCGTGCCCTGAGGGCAGGAGCTTTGTGCCTGGCCTTGGCTGTCAGCCCCGCTGTGTGCCAGGGCCCTTGGTGGCGGCCGGGGCTGCTCCCCGCCCTGGCACCCTCTGCCCTCTCAGATGAGCTACGAGCTGTGGCGGGACTTGGAGGAAGAGAGCGACAGCGAAGGGCAGGGCAGGAAGCCTGAGATTGGGCACGTGTTCCTCATGGACAGAGGTGGGCTGAGGCAGGGCTGCGGGCTGGGCAGCACGTGTCCCAGAGGGGCGGGAGGGCAGCCTGCCTCTCCCTGCAGACACCGACTACGTGACAGCACTCTGCTCCCAAGTGGTCTACGAGGGGCTCGTGGACGACACCTTCCGCATCAAGTGTGGTACGTGACCCGGGAAGGGCCGGGCAGCACGGGGCTCCGTGCTCACGGCGGGGCAGAGCGGGGCTCTGCACTCACAGCACAGGGCTCTGCACTCACAGCAAGCACAGGGCTCTGCCCTCACAGCACAGGGCTCTGCACTCACAGCACAGGGCTCTGCACTCACAGCATGAGCGGGGCTCTGCACTCACAGCACAGGGCTCTGCACTCACAGCACAGTGTTCTGCTCTCACAGCACAGCAGCACAGGGCTCTGCCCTCACAGCTCGGGGCTCTGCCCTCACCTGGCCAGTGCCAGCAGGGTTTGTGCCTGGCCCTGTTCCCACAGGGACAGTCCCAGCGTGGGGTGCTGCTGGAGGTCTCATCCACAGGGACAGTCCTGACTTTGGCCAGGGCTGGCATCCTCTGTCTCTGCTGCCTCTTGCAGCAAGGCTGTGCGTGTGGGAATGTTGCTGTGTCTGGGACAAAGCAGCTCTTCACTTTTCCCTGCAGGCAGCGTGGATTTTGGGCCAGATGTCACCTCTTCTGACAAGAGTATCAAAGTGCTGCTCAATTCCCAGGACCAAGTGAGTCCTCACAAGCCTCGGGGAGGGCCCTTGGTGGGAGCAGGCAGAGTGACCATTCCCTCCCCTAAGCTTGAGCAGGAGTGGCTGGGGGCTGCTGGGCCCTCGGAGCATGGGTTCAGGCACAGAGAGCAGAGAAACCTGGTGCAGCTCCACTTCTGAACCTGTCCAAGCCCCTGCATGCAGGGCTGTGTCACAAATGAGTGTTTTAAGGAATCCCCAGCAAAGGTGTCTGCAAAGACAGGTTTAATATAAAAGCCACAGCTTGACAAAATTAGTTGGCAAAGTTCTACACGGTTAAAGCGCAGAGATAAAAAGCAAAAAAAAAAAAAAAAACTATAAATCAATCAATCTAAACCAAAATCAACCCAAAAATATCGAGGTGGAGGTGGGGAATGAGGGGTAATCAAAAGGATAGAAAGGAATATGGAAGACCCTCCTGTTGAGTCACGAGGTTCATAGTAATTTTCCCTCCTGGTCACAATTCAGGTTGGTATTTTACTATGGAATTTGACAATGAAAATATTACTCCACTTGGGTTTTTATCCAGGTTACAAAACAATTTTCCCAGGCTGTTTATTAAAAAACAGCAGCTGGTTAGACAGTACCAGTTCCTAGGAAGAGGGAGTGTTTGTGCTAAGCTGGGGAGGACCCAGTGCTGCTCAGCAGGGCTGACCTGAGCAGCGTTTCTCAGATCCTGCTGTGGCCAGAGGGGCACGCTGACACAGGCTGCTGTGCTGCCAGCCTGGGCTTTGTGGCCAGCAGGGTGTGGGGAGCGTTGGCCCCGGGCTCTGTGTCCCCAGGGCTGCAGTGGCCGGGCCCTGGCAGCTGTGCTGCTTGTGCAGGTGTTCAGCCAGATCCGCAACGAGCACTTCTCCAGAGTCTTTGGCTTCCTCAGCCAGAAGTCACGGAACCTGCAGGCGCAGTACGACGTGAGTGTCACCCTGGCACGCGTGTGCCACTGTCCCTCGCAGCCTGGCCAGCACCCTGTGCAGCCTGGCCAGCCCCCCTTTAGCCTGGCCAGCACCCGTTTAGCCTGGCCAGCCCCCCTTTAGCCTGGCCAGCACCCCATCCAGTGCAGCCTGGCCAGCCCCCCCATTTAGCCTGGCCAGCCCCCCTTTAGCCTGGCCAGGACCCCCTTTAGCCTGGCCAGCCCCCCCTTTAGCTGGCCAGCCCCCCTTTAGCCTGGCTGCCCCTGCTCTCCCTCCCGCAGCGGCGCCGGGGCATGGACATCAAGCAGATGAAGGACTTCGTGTCGCAGGAGCTGAAGGGACTGAAGCAGGAGCATCGCCTGCTGAGCCTGCGTAGGAGCCTGAGGGGAGGGAGGGCTGCACTGCAAGTGCTGGGGCTGCAGGGAAGGGGCAGGGGGGCCCTGGATGTGCCCAGCAGGGACAGGGCAGGGGCTGCTGGCGTGTGCTGCCAGGGCCTGCAGAGCCCTTTCCCCTCCAAAGCCACTGTGTCTCTTGGCTCTGTAGATATTGGTGCCTGTGAGTCTATCATGAAAAAGAAAACCAAGCAGGACTTCCAAGAGACCATCAAGGCTGAACACGGTGAGTGCTGCTCCGTCTGTGCCTGCCCCTGCCCCACTCGCCCCAGGCCAGGCAGCCTCATGCCTGGCTGTTCCCTGGGTGGCCCCGTCCTCCCAGCCCCTTCTGGGGCTGTCTCGAAATCCCGAGTAGGGGCAGGCTGCACTCTGAGAGGGAACGTGTGGAGGGGTGGGGGCCCCGTTCCCTGGGGTGCTGGG